TGTTCACTTTGTTGGAGAAAAAGTCTTTGGCGAGCTTAAAATTCGCGCCAACAATGATTTGCTGGACTGGGTATGTGTCTGCCTTCAAAAATCTTTAGTTCTGGAACAAAGTTTGTGTGTTAGTATCAGGTTTTGGCTAAACCCTCTGCAACAAAGAGCTTATCAAAAACAGATTATTTGTGTATGATTATATCATACCTGCAAACAATTTTTTTAACCTCTTCATGACTGTTCTCATTGTAAATGATGCCATGAGGAAAGCTGGAAAGTAGATCGGTATTCTACAAGTGTCATTAAAGCTACAAAATAAAATGAGTTTCCCATCTACTCCTTCCAATAATTCAAAGAATAAACTTCGAGAAGTTTTCGTTTTCTTCCAGGTATCTTTTGATTTTTAAGGATTACTTCTTTCTGTGCTTCTACAATTGAATTACACTGTCCATTTTCAATATAAGTGATAAATGTAGACAGGAGAATATATTCTCGTGATGTGGAACGTTGATTTCTATAATTACCTCTCTACATACATCCCTAGATAAGTTTATTCATTTGCTGAAGGAAATCTTTATAAACTGTGACTATAACCGCCTTGCTTCTAGATTTTAGGATGATTCAAGATTTTAGGATATGAATCTCTGAAGTTGTCTCAGACCTCTGCTCTTCGTGATAAATATAGGATTCTTTAAAAAAATGCAGAAAATTAGATTGAAATTGACTTTCATTCTGTCTATTGAGTTAAAATATACTGAAAAATGTTTGACAAAATGTTTGATATTTGACTAGAATGTATTCATAACTTTAATCTTATCAAGGTGTGAATCATTCTGTTTTGTCCGGTTACTTGACCTTTGAGCCAGAATATCTTCGAACCATTCCTAGACGCATTAAGTGCTAAGGCTTATTTTGCGACCTTAAGCTGCTGCAACTTTAGGCGAATGAAGGAACCATGAGGTGACTTATGAGAACTGAAAGCAACGTGACCCTCCTAAAGTTACTTAAGCAATCTAAACTTTCTTTACTAAGATGGCTTTCCTTTCACCATTTATTATTTCTTTTCCACTGTTATATCAGGGTCACGTTTTATTTTCATTTGCAATATCATGATTCAACATGCTTAAATAAAAAAAATTGCCGTTAATCAACCAAATACAATTTGGTATAACCAGAAAACGTGTTCAAATTGGTCAATAACAAAATTTTCTAAAGCCCCAGGGCCTGCTGGGAAGTTCAGTGTCTAGTCTTCCTTAGCTTGCGAAAGCCTAAAATAGAACGCCTAGGATATTTTTTGCAAGATGGCGGGCACGTGTAAGGTGAATAGAATTTTTCATCTTACTTTAATTGATTTCGGGATCAATAGCTATGAAATTTGGTACAGAAACAGACTAACGTGGAACATTTTGATCCAATAAGAATAAGGTAAAAAGGGCTTACATTTATTTAGATAACGGAAATTGAATTCACATTTGCCGAGATTTTTAACTCAGTCAGATCAGAAGCCGTAAGATTATAAGATTCTGGTTAGGTATAATATGGTGTCCTTCAAAGCAAAATTGCAAAATTGGCAAAATCGAACCGACAGTTAAATGTTTTATGCTAGACAAAGCCTTAAGAAAGGTGTGATTTAACCATATACAAAGTGATCTGTGAACTCGATTTCTTTAAAGAGCTCCTCGCACACACTGAAATTTTTACGCATCTATAACGACTTAAATTGCAAAAGTTCACCTATGAAGTAAGAACACCTTATTAGGGAACAGATCATCAGATCGCAAGTCCTATATCCAGAAACCTACTTTTCCTGACATAATAATTTTGAGCAAGATAGCTCACAATCCGGTAATTGTTTGAAGAGAGACAATATCGACCTACAAAAGTCGATGGTGAAATATGTCTTTAACTGGACCCACCTAATGAAGTAAGGGTCGGTCAATATTTTCTTGCTTTCTAACAGAAGCCTTAAACTTCTAGTTACGGATTCCTATTTTGTAAAGAAAGTTCTTATTTACGCTTAGATCTCATAGGATTTACAAGAGAAGGAAGAAACGATGGCTGAATATCAGGCTGTCCTTTCTGCACAATTTTTTTCCACCAATTGTTAAATAAGTCTAGGTAGAAACACGAGAGTGCAATTTTTGATATGCATTGAGTGTTGATGAAAGAAAACTTTGCTTGTTAATATGATAAATTTACGCTCCTTGAAAATTTACTTTGCCTTTTTTCTCAGTGCTTGTTTTGTACCATAATTATTTGTTCAGGTTAGTAAAACTGAGCAGCGTAATGACGGATAATGACTTCAACTGACTGATAAAACGAAATGAAAGGAAACCGCTTTTCTGTGCGTTTGTTTTGCATAAACGCATTTCGCTCATCGGTAATATTTTTTTTGTACAATTTCCCTTTAAAAGCTAATACTCTTTTTCATCCCATAAGCGTTTGGCCCCACGTAGAATCTCGCAGTCAAAAGGATTAACAACTTTTCAAGTACAAATATCTTCAATTTGGATTGAACTAAAAAATGCGAACATAGTACAAAAATGTAGCTAGGTGGTCTACTATTAGGCTCGCCAACCCTGACACTGGGCACTAGCTGGACTTTAAGAGAATTGACATTCTACGACAAATCTAGGGGTTTGAAGAAAAAATACAGACCTCCTTTTGTCAATAATTAGAAAAAGACTTGACGCCTAAGTTTTCAATATGATATCGCTTTCGCTTCACAACATCCCGTTCTTGCGCCTAGGTCCTATGCAGTTCACAAGAAACGTAAAAAACGCCTCCATGGGTGCGGGGCTATCACCACAGGACGAAGAATCAAAGCATTTCTTGTTCTTACTGCTTATCAAGGAGCCTTCGAAAGATTAGGGCATTTCCTTGCACGCAGACCATTGGCGGTTCTTCTGGTTTCGTTCATTGTTTTGATTGGAAGCTGCCTCGGATTCATTCGCCTGAATGTTGAGCAGCCCACCGTTGAGCTTTTTACCTTCGCCAACAGCAAATCCAGACAAGACTCGCATGATTCCGCACAATTCTTTCCGATTCTTGAGGCACGACAAGAACAAGTAATTATGATACCCAGGAATGGGGACAGCATTCTAAGTGAAGAATGTTTAAAAGACGCCATTATGGTTCACAGAGCCATAGTAAATATCAGCGGTTACGTCAATATATGTTTCAGGCAGCAATCGCCAATTGCCCAACAAAGAAGCACAGAGAAAAGCTGCAAGATCAGCAATCCTCTTGAGTTAGCTGGAACGCATTTTCAAAAATTAGAAAATCTTTCCTCGATCCTGGCTCGCGAGTTGGTAAAGCCTACTAGTGTTCTTTCCTCTGGAAAAACATTTAATTCTTCCTATCAGCAATTGCTGGCCAATTTCCACATAGAACGGAACAAAGATCAATTGACTGCCCGTGCCGACGCTCTTCGAACTATTTACTTCGTAAGAAAGACAACCAGCACAGAAGACTACCAAGACATAGAAAGGTTTGAAGCCTCCTTTAGCAGTCTCCTTGATTCAATGGGTCCTCGCATGAAATGTGCAAAACTCTCCTACCAGACTGAGAGAACAGCGACTGATGCCTTGCAAGATATACTGAAACCAGAGCTATGGCCTCTTTGTTTTTCAGTCGTAGCGATTGCTGTCCTTGTCTTCACTGTCATACGCTTTACTTCTAACAATGCCGGTTGTTTAAGGACAGTCCTCCTGATGTTCTCTTCCTTTGCTTTTCCTTTAACCTGCTCTGCAGGTGTTGTCTCCATAACAAACTCTGCCTTTTCCTCAACGTGCCTCTTTATACCCTTCTTACTATTGGGGAAAGCAACTACAGACGTGGTACTTTACCTCATGGAATGGGAAAGGCAAAAAAAGGTGCCATCACTTGAACATCGGGTGGGAAATTGCCTGGCTAGAACAGGGGTTCTTGCTATGACGACTGCGCTTTGTGGGTCAGCTCTTTATGGAGTGGGAATCAAATCCTCTTTTAATGCCATTTCCAATTTTTCCTTTGCAATACTTGTTGCTTATGTAACATTTTCTGCTTCTATTGTGATCACAATCATTGTGTTGATGTATTTTGAAAGAAAGCTTAAGAAAGTGAACACACCCTGTGCGACTACATGTGAAAGAAGATTGTCCATCTCTGAATTTGGAAGCGCTGAGCTTAGACTCTCACAGTGCCACAAGACAAGACTGCAACGCATTCTGAAAGAATGGGCTCGAAAAATAACATCCACCGGCGGCAAAATTTTCTCCCTCGGAATCTTTGCCCTTCTCATCACTTTAGTTGTTTTCTCCGCTTTTCAAACTGGAGACAGAACGCGTACCACACAGTTGCGCTATCGGAGTGAAAACTTCAAGCAGTTTAATAAGGCACGACAAATGTTCCTAAGCAACGAAACTGATGTGAGCATCGTTTTCTCCAAGGAAGTCGACTATTCACTAAAAAGTGTACAAAATCAAGTAATGTCAGCGTGTAAAAAACTGGAAGAGGCCGCTTACAGTAAAGGAAAGTCCCTTTGTTGGATGGCAGGCTTTCTACAGTGGGTCAAACATCAAAACATGAGCTGTTCACATTCAGAGTTTCACCGGTGCTTGGAACTTTTCCTGAAAAATTCCCAGAGTTTGCTGTTTAGACAAGATCTGCTTTTAGAAGATTCTACATCTCTTGTTAAAATATCGGCGTCACGAGTTCATCTGAGGATGACACTGAACAACCGATTGCGAGAAGATAGAGAAGCCCTTAGGACACTGAGAAGTGATTTACATGAACAGTCCTCCTTGAAAGGCGTCCCAATCTCCAAAGAATTTTTCAAGATAGATGACCTCGTCGAGTTAGAAAAAAAACCATCTCCATAGCTCTCACAGCTGGCACAGTGGTGGTGTTTGCTGTTTCTTTGTTTGCAATGTGTCATGTCGGGGCTAGTACACTCCTGGCTATAACGTTCAACCTTCTAATACTGGAAGCAGCAGCTATTATGAAAACATTTGGAATCTACCTGGATCATGTGGTTTTCATTTCTCTTTTTTGTGGCGATCATGCTGTCCTTGAATTTTAGTATTGAAGTGTGCCATTCGTTCGTCCTCTCGGCCAAGCGAGACATACAAGGTCGCATGATTGATGCTCTTCGCTCCGTTGGAGTATCCGTGCTGGGAGGCGCTTTGATATCCCTATCAGCTTCTGTTTGCTTGGGATTCATTTTTCCCAGTCTAGCAGATATTTTCCATCTACTACTTTCCTCGGTGTTCGCTTTGGGGTCCATCCATGCTCTTCTTGTTTTCCCGACGGTCCTTGCATTGTTTGAGGAGTTAGTGCACAATTTTAGCTCCAAGATTAGCCAAGAGGAAATAAAACACTTCATGGTAGCAAATGACTCAATATCAATGGAAGCACGGAATGGCGACATAAGAAAGCTCAAGGCTAAACGTTCCGGGATCTCCATCATAGGCATTAGTTGTAGATTCCCCGGTGCTCACAGTAAGAACCTCTTTTGGGCCTTGCTTGAACAAGGAAAGAGCTCCATTCGTGCGTTTCCCGAGAACAGAACACAGCAGCATAAAGCGTTTGTTGAGTTCTACAACCCCAAGCGTTTCGTAAATGGACGCCTTTGTGCCATCAATGGTTCCTACTTGGAAGAAATTAAGACTTTCGACAACAGGTTCTTCGGTATCTCCAATCAAGAGGCACGTGCAATGGACCCTCAGCAAAGAATACTCCTTCAAGTAGCCTACGAGGCAATAGAAGATGCAGGAATGCGGCTTGAAGACTTACAAAAGTGTAGAACAGGTGTTTTTGTTGGCGTGATGAATATCGAATACGGTTCTCTTTTGGCAGACCGCTCAAATTACTCCTACATCGATCAGTATACCTCAACAGGGATAACAGCATCTATTCTTGCCAACAGAGTGTCATTTTGCCTTAATCTGACCGGACCAAGTATTGCCGTGGATACAGCATGTTCCTCATCGCTAACTGCTCTTAAACTAGCTTATGATAGCCTGCATAACGATGATTGCGATATAGCTATCGTTTGCGCACCCAATGTCGTCCTTAACCATTCCATGCAGATAATATCCAGTATGGCTGGACTTCTTGCCCCGGATGGCCGTTGCAAGAGTTTTGATGCTTCTGGGGACGGTTATGGACGCGGAGAGGGCTTTGCAGCGGTTGTACTCAAACTGTCAAAGGATGCTCTTTGTGACAAAGACGATGTATATTGCGAGATCCTTGCATGTGGAATGAACAGCGACGGTCAAAATGCTGTCCCGATCACCGCTCCAAGTGCCAAGATGCAAGCTCAGTTATCAAGAAGCGTGCTAGAGCAGTCAGGAGTGGCCGCAGAAGACGTGGATTACTTCGAAGCACATGGGACTGGTACCGCGATTGGTGATGTAGTGGAAGTCAACTCCATAGCAGATACCTACTCCAATCTGGCCGCAAATTCTTCACGAAAATTGAGAATTGGCTCTGTCAAATCTAATCTCAATCATACGGAATCTACTTCTGGTCTTGCTGGACTTATTAAGGCCGCCCTGATGATAAAAAACAAGACCTTTGTACCCACCATCAACGTCAAGGTGTTGAATCCCAAACTAAAGCTTGAAGAAAAAGGGATTATTCTACAACAAACTCGTGAGTCTTGGAAAACAGAAAAGGGAAAACCGCGAATAGCAGCCGTTAATTCGTTCGGTTTTGGTGGGTCAAATGTGCATGTTATTCTTCGCGAAGCTACAGCAACACCAAGCTTCCAAGTGGAAAACTTCAAACGCAAGAATAACGTTCTTACTATCACAGCACGTTCTCTAGAAGCTCTTAAAAAGCTGTCACGCCTTTACTCCAGGTGGATTAAAGACAACGCTGAAGAAATGAATGAACACTTTGTGGAAAACTTATGTTTCTCGTTGAACGAACGTCGAAGCCAGTATCCGCATCGCCTGGCAGTTGCCTTTGGGCCTCCTTTCGAAGCATCGAAGTCACTAGAAGCTTTTGCTGATGACTCCGCTGGTTGGGAAAAGACCGCTTCTTATGCTGAGGTGACCTCAAGTGATAGGAAACTGGTTTTCATGTTTGGGGGTCAGGGATCACAATGGTATGCCATGGGAAGGCAGTTAATGGAATGCGAAACCGCTTTCAGAGAGGCAATTTTGACTGTTAGCAACTTACTGAGAGATATGGGACAGACGTGGTCACTTGAAGACGAATTGATGGCACCAGAAGACATTTCGCGAATATCGGAAAACTACATTGCCCAGCCAGCCACGTTCGCTGTACAGTACGCAACCACACAGCTGCTTAAGTCCTGGAAAGTCCATCCGTCTGCTGTTATTGGTCACAGTTTAGGAGAGTTCGCAGCTGCCTGTGTTGCTGGAATCATCACTGTCAAGGAAGCTCTTCAGCTGGTACTAACTCGCTCCACTCTTCAAGACAAATGCCCAAGCAATGGAAGTATGGCTGCCCTGGGCATGCCTGAGATAAAGGCCAGGGAAATGCTTTTCAATCTAAGGTTAAGCGCCACCCTCGACATAGCGGCAGTTAATGATGCAAAAAGCGTCACTGTAGCTGGTGAGTCGCAGTCCATCGAGGCATTGGGACAACATCTTTCGATGAACGCAAGAGATGTTTTCTGGCGTGTTCTTGGAACAAATCGTGCATTTCACAGCTCACACATGGAACCCATCAAGAAACCATTTCAGGCAGCTATGAAAAGTGTACAGCTAAACCCTCAACTATCGAAGATTCCAATGTACTCTACCGTTGAGGGCGAAGTTGTCTCGGGTCAGCAGTTAAACAGCGATTATTGGTGGCGAAATATACGCTGTCCTGTTCGCTTCTACTCGGCAATGAAACATCTACTGAGAGATGGTTACAAGCAGATAATTGAGATCAGCACGCAGCCAATTCTTGCCCACTACGTAAAACAGATAGCTCTTCAGGAGAATTTGACGGAACAGGAAAGGCCCGTTGTTGTCGCAACTCTTCCACGTAAGAGAGTGCCCATCAAGGAGCAACACAAATGCTTTCTTCAGAACACAATATGCAGATTGTATACCATGGGATTTCCCGTAGACTGGACCTTGGTACAGGGGAGCCAATCAGCCAGGTTTATCCGGTCCCCAACATCTCCATGGCTGGAAAACAGTTTTTGGTACAGGGAACAACCACCGCAATCAACAGTCCACCCAATTAGCTCTAAGGAAACCTTATGGAAGCCAACACATCCTTATCTGGCACAAGTCAAAATGACCGACTTATACTCAGGCCTGCACTGCTGGGAGACTGAGATTGACCTTTTCAATTTTCCATCTCTAAAGGACCACGCCCTTATTGAAGGAGGTGCCGTGATGCCCGGGGCTGCTTACCTGGAGATGGCCTTTGCAATGGTAAAGGACGAATTCGTACATACTTCTGGCCTGGAACTTGGTGATGTGAAACTTTCAAGTCTTCTCACTCTTCCTGAAACACAGGTAAGCGTAGTATATACATAAATTAGAGACAAGCCATATCAGCTAGGTTGAGGTTATCGCAACTTTTTATCCTTTGTTCTTTAGGTTAGATCCTTACGACTTCGCCTTTTAAAGACCGACAAAATAGACAAGGCTCAGTTTCACATTACAAGCGTGCAGGACGACCAGTCTGAAATTATTTTGAGTAGTGGAAACATCTCGGTCGATTTCTTGGACACAAAAACAAACAGCGAGGAAGAAGGTATTATAATATTCAAATGCATTTGCCATTCTCCATTTATAGCCTATTTATTTATCCACCCATTTATAGTCATGATTGCAAGAGACTATAACTATCACATAGAAATTAAAAGGAGACATTTCCCCGTTTTGGCCTTTTTACAGCTTGCAATCAAGTTGGCCCAGCCGTCAACGAGCTAATCAGAAATATGAAAAAGAGGTGCCGATTGAAGGATTCAGAGAATTAACTCAAAAGTATGGCTTTCAGTATGGTGGTGCCTACTCCATCATCAAACAGACATGGCACCGCGAGCACGAGGGACTTTGTCTGATCGATATCCACGAATCAGCCATCGTTCAATCAGAAAGTAAAAATTATGTTGTCCACCCTCCATTTTGGACGCGTGTCTGCAGTCTTGCTTTATCCCACTTGGAATCTCAGCTACTGATGAAAAATCTGTTTTACCGGTGGGATTTAAGGGCATCACGCTGTATCATGTTCCAAATACCAATCAACTCTATTGTCACGTCGTTGAGGATGCCAAAGAGTTCGGGAAATTCGACATCACGCTTATGAGTCCATCTGGAAGGGTTTTACTAACTATGAGAGAGTTCCGTATCGCAGAATTGAACAGCACACCACGCCGATTTACTTCTGATGGCCTTGTTTATGAAATGAAGTGGATGGAAGAGAATTTACAAGGACAAAGAGCAATGGCGCCAAACTTGACCTGTCTTCTTCTCAGGGACAGCTCCCCTTTCTCAGACATCCTAATCGGCAAGCTTCACGCTGCAAGAGTCAATGTAATCCCAGTTGATCCACCCGATGCTCTATTTTTTGATACAGAAACAAAAGAAACAATCAGCAGAGAGCTTACTGCCCTACATTCGATCCCTTCATCCATGCTCAAAGTCGTCAACTTGTGGCCAGTAGAAACCACTCTCCTACCAAACAATTTCGATGTTATCGAAAAAGCACAAAACCTCGCCTTCAGCAGCTCAGTTTTCTTAATTCAACAGCTTACAAGAAACCATTTTCTCGATTCTCGGCTTCTGCTCGTGTCTGAAAGTACACAGCTCCTAAGTGCCACAACGAAATCTCACAACGACTCCATGCCTTGGGCTCTACAAATCTGGGGTCTTCGCAGAACAGCAAAGCTCGAAGAATCTGATCTTAGGATTACCACGATTGATCTTGGCGACAAAAATGATAATGATGAGATAGATTTGCTTCTTTCTGAAATCCTTGGCGATAGTATGGAAGAAGAGATTGCCTTTCGAGATAGAAAGCGGCTCATAAATCGAGTTGTGAGATCAAATATTTGCACCGAGCAGCCCACAATACACAGTAATGTTAGCGACTGGGGTTCTTTATACTTGTCATCCATTCCTGCTTCACGGAAGGTCTGCTTTCGCCAGAGGAGTTTTTCGCGGCCATCGCCCTCCGAGGTCACAGTAGAACTGCTTTATTGCTGGACACCCTCTGAGTCAATACTTGATGTAGCCAAACCAGATGCTTGTGTTTTCACCGTGGGAAAGGTGATTCATCTACAAAGGGAAGCTGCAAGTAATCAGATACAAATTGGAGACGTTGTGTGCGGCGTTATGGCGTCTGGACGAGTTTCTCGTTCCGTTCCCATGCAAGTCAGGAACATTTTTGTAAAGCCAGCTATTTTGACGCAAGAACAAGCAACATACATCCCTGCCTGCCTTGCCATAGCCTTTCACGCCCTACAACGGATAGGAACGATGGAAGAAAAGAAGAAGTTACTGATTCATCAGGCTCACCGTGGCCCTGGGCCTGTGGCAGTTGCCCTTGCAAAAGCATTGGGTCATGAAGTATTTTGCACTATCTCAGATACTTGCCAATCGGTGACAGAATCCACCCTTCTAGAGCTGGGAGCAAAGAGTGTAGCACATCAGAGTCTCACAAGTTTTGAAAATGATTCCATCGACGCTTTTGATGCAGTTTTGTTTTTCTACCCACCCTCTCCGAACGCTCTCCAAAAAAGCAGTCGACGTCTTAAACGTGGAGGAAAAGTCGTTATCTTGGGAGCTGAATTTGATGGTGCCGTCGTGTTCCCTGCAAAGAAAAACGTCCTGTATGTAAGAGAAAGCATTTCAGATATCATCCGATCACCGCAGACTTATCAAAAGCTCAGCTTAGAGAGTCTAGAACTGCTGAAAGGTAGTGGAGTTCTGCAAAAGCTTCTGGAACTCAAGTTACTATCGACAGACATACCCACGGCAATTGAAGCTGCAAACAAAGCCACTCTGAAAGACTCACCTCCGAAAAGGGTCCTGAGAGAATTTCGAGGCATTTCTTTTCTGGTTCACTCTTTTGCACCATCTGAAGGAGGCAATGATCTTCTAACGATCCCCGTGCTTCCACGAGGTCTGGATGTGTGTGGTCTCAAAGAAAACAGAACGTACTTGGTGGCTGGGGGGACCAGAGGATTCGGATTTGAGGTGGCGCGTTGGATGGCCGAGAATGGAGCAAAGTCTATAGGACTGATTGGTCGTTCCAAGCTCTCAGATACCGAGTATCAAAAAGTACGAGATTTAGAGACGAAGACAGGTGCAAAGTTCTATACGTTCCAGGTAATTTGGTGCGTTACCTTTATGGTAGTCAATAGTCAAACGGTTACTACTTCATTTTCGCAACTAGAAATGCTAAGTTGCATTTGTACAATACTTGGAAAGTAACTTTACCTGAAGCACAACGCACGCCAAGAATTTTAAAGACTGTTTTCTATTTTGTTTTTATAGATTGATATCTCCAGCCAAGAGCAAATGTTTTCCTTACAAAAGCAGCTCCAGTCTCTTCCAAGTGTAGCTGGGATAGTACATTCTGCTATGGTTCTCCGAGACGAATACATCAAAGATTGGAAATTTGAAAGTTTCGCAGAAGTTATGGGTCCTAAGATCAAAGGTGACTATCGGCACTACTTCATATCGCATACTTTAATATTTCCTTTAACATCCTTTGTATATTTGATTGACCCAAAAAAATTGAGTTATACCTTTCAACACTTATAAATATCAAATAATAATCATTCAACTTCTAGTCTGTGTTTGTTTTCCATTTCATCTTGTATTAATATATGATAAAAATGAAAAGTTCGAGTGCACCTAAACACACACACGATCATATCTGTTTACCATAGGTGAAAGTAGCCCAAATTAACTACGAAAACTAAGTGTACCTGAACATTCAAAGACACTTGAGCACTATCAATTACTTATTTTCATTTCTTTAAATTGGATTGTGTATATATTGTTATCTGGATAACGTATTACATAACATATCTTGATTTTATGAATGAAATGGAGATTGTAAGTGTGATATTTCTTCTAGGTTCCTTTTTACTACACCAAATGAGTTTGGAGATGGATCTAGATTTCTTTGTTATGTTCTCATCTATGGCATCTGTTGTTGGAATCGTGGCATCTTCGTCATACTCAGGCTGTAATGCTTTCCAAGATTCTCTTGCCCAGTATCGAAGACAGGTACTCGGTTTGCCCGGACTTTCGATAAACTGGGGACCAATCAGTGGAGCTGGTGTGATGCAACGGCAGAGTAATATTGCAAAATTGATGGCAGTTGGAGGACTGGGCTTCATAAACGCCGGAGATGGTAAATATGATTTTTGTAACACGCTAATGGTGGTTTTGTATATGAATTTGATTATTCTCATGGGTAATAATTAGTGGATTTCAAAGACAAAAAAATTATATCGTTGAGAATAGTGAAAGCAGATGAAAATAAACATGGCTTTTCATATAGTTTGTAAGAGAATAGTTGCGTCCACTGCTCTTGATGCTACAAGGTAAGCCGAGGAAGAGAAATGAGCGTTTTACAAGCGTAGATGAAGAAGCGGTTCACTCCGGGTGATATTAGTTTAAGATCGGCAGCTGACGGTTTTCAGCCAGTAGACGACATTCTTTACTTATCAAAACGTAAGCCACGTACTGGAATTTTTCTCAAAGTACCCAGTCTTACCTATTTCCCCTGTATGAAAGGTGACTGCTTTTTGTACCTTAAGAGAAAAATTGTTCATCAGTAGTTTCCATGGAAGAATTTCGATTACTTTTCAGGAGTCAATCTGATGGCCAAGGTTTTGACCGAGGAGCCGAGCCGTTTCCAAATCTCTTTATTTGGTGTGGACTGGCCTCGGTATATTAACAGTAATACCGGACTACAAAATACGCCCCGACTCTCAATGTTCACCTCAGAAATCAGTGTTTCTGAGAGCCAAACTAACACAGCAGAGTCTTTACTGCAAAGAATTCGGTTAGAGAAGGACCCAGATAAGAAAGGCGAACTTATCGTTGAGTATGTTCGCATCTCGGTTGCGGAATTGACAGGCAGTTCATCGCTTTCAGAGACGGATCTAAACAAAAGCTTGTATAGCTATGGTATTGACTCCACTGCAGCTTTGACTCTGAAGATGCTGCTTGAGTCAAACTTGCGGGTCTCTTTTGAGGTGTGTATGTCATTAGATAACTGAAAAACAATGAATTTGTAATTTTCCCAGCTGGTGCATTTAAGAAAGTCCCGTTGGAATATCCTTATACGTATCTTGTAACCAAAATGTCTTTTAGTTTGCATAGCAGCATTGTTGTAGGAAATACTCCAATTAAGAACAATTCATTTCGATTCAAATGAGAGACGATTCTCTTGAACCATCGATACTACTAATTACACCCCTATATACCCATATAAGGATCATGCCCTCATGTGTGTGGATGGTTTAATGGAATTAAAAGTTTCTATAATCATTCTTCGTACCTGGAAATAGTGAATATTTAATCAAATTTAAACGTACGGTAGTGAATTATGTTCAATCGAAACGTCGATGCATGTTAAACGTTTGAAACTCTTGTCTTTAGGTTTACTACTTCATGCAGCCTGACACTACTACACTAAAAATGGCCAGGGACATCAGTGCCAGGCTTCGTGGAAAAGCAAGCAGCCCGCAGAATAGCGAGAGCCAAGAAAGTGCACCCGGACAAACTCAGTCATCGGAGGAAACAAATACTTCAGACATGCCGTCCAAGAAGGAGGTTCAAGTCTTACCTCTTTACACTCCTGAGGGATCAGCAATAAAGTTCTTCTGTGTTCACCCTTCACATCGCTACGCGTTGAATTTGGTTCCCATTTCTACCGGATTTCAAGGACAGGTGCGTATCTGACCGTTATAGAATTGATTTAGCCCCTCAGCCAATGACATAAACATCATTTCAA